TTTTAGTTTGCTATAGTAGTATCTCTTTAATATAATTATATTATTAATATAGCTAAGTTCTAAGGTAAACTAGCAGAATAATAGCCAGTCTATATCTTTAGGTATAAGGTAGAGGTAGTTTTATTAAGCGATATAGAAGTTAGATTTATACTAAATTAAGTAGCAGTATATCTATAGGAAGCCTGTTGCAGCCTTATAGAAGTTGCTCTAGCTATAGCCCGCTTAGTTTATGCCTTCTTCTAGAAATGTTTTCTAGAATACCTGTAATAGTAAATACTATAGTAGAAGTTTAATAAAAATGCGGTTATAGATCTAGACTAGATATAGTTATAGTTCTTCTATAATAATAATCTTATAACTCTTAACTTGCTGGCGGTGTAAAGGGTTAATATTAGCGCTAGAAAAAGTTGTTATAATCTAAAGATAAGGTGCTATCGCCTCTAGATCTCCGCACTAAAGTTTCTGCCTAACTAAAGGGTAGCCTAGTAAAGTTGCGGTTAGTACTTTAGCTATAGGCTTATAGTTATGCGCGAGCTTAGCTTCTTTTAAGAATAGAGGTATATCTAGTTGCTAGAAGTATATTTATATAGGCTAAGTCTGCACGTTAAATTAATTATAGAAATAATATATCTTTTATTATTAGGATTATATCTGCGCCTGGGGCCTTATAAGGGACTTGCCTTTAGCTGCCTGCTTAGCCCCAGCCTTGCTGCAGGCCGGCTAAGTTAATAAAGCGCGGGCTGCCTTAGCCTAATATATACTTATTAATTATCTATATAACTTACTACTATTTTTTACTTTTATATATTAATATATCTAGGTTATATACTAAAAGCAAACTATAGTAGGTACTAGTAGTATAATAAACCCGCACGCTAAGGCTAACGCGGGGCTAGGGCCGGCTAGTAACTAATAATAATATTAGGCTAAAGGTGCTCTGTAAGGCACTAGCAAAGGCAGAAGCTGCCTAGATTATTAAGTATATTTAGCTCCTATATCTGCTTACTTAGACTTATAGTAAGCCACCTAGTATTATTATAGTTTACAGCCTTAGCGCCTATTCTAATAACAGCTAGTATAAAAATAAGGGTACTAGGAAGAGCCCGCAGTGGGTTAACTAGCTTAAGAAGGAAAGTATACTGCTAGCAGTCGCGCTAAATATATATATTATATGCTATAGATATTAATTGCAGTAGTTTAGTAAGAAGGCTATATAGTAGAGCGCGTTTATAATAGCAGAGCGGTTGCTAATAGTTTTAAGGCGGAAAAGAAAGGTACCAACCGTGTCTAAAAGGCGTGGTGAATCCGCTAACTATATTAGGATATTTTGTTCCGTCCGCTGCTATTTATAGCGCACTGCTTTAGCAGGTTAGTTATACTTAAGGTAAGTAGGTCTACTAGACAGCGATGTGCTAGTAGCTAAGCATTTCCTAAGTACTGCTAGAAGCCGAATAGTACCCGAGTAAGTAGCTTAGAGTATTTCTATTAACTACTAGCCTAGTCTTCTTTAGAATACTGTTCTAAGGCGCGGGAGAGATAAATTAAATAGAGATGCTGGAGGCGGCACAGCGCAAATATAATAATAATTAGGTGCAGCCCACCGCTTTTAAGGTGCTGCAGCCGGGAAACGTATACCTGCAAGAGGTGGTTAATAGCTTCCTAAAGAAAATACGGGGCTAGATAAATAAAACGCAGATTGCATGCTTCTATAAGCTTAAGGCCAGTAATATAGGGAAGATTATAGAGGGGTAGAGTTAGATAGTAAGTATAAATAAGTATTATATAACCTATAAGGCTAACTATATATATAAAGGTTTATAGTTAGCAAGAGCTCTAGCTGTTTTAACCTGTTAGACTTAACTAGTAAGTACTTGCTTTTATATACCTACTTTAATATAAATAAGTTTAGAAAGGTAATAGAGGAAAATTTTAAAATAGTAGCAGAAGTAGTTAAAGGTATAGTTAATAAATCTCCTAAGCTTATATAGGGGCGATTTTAATATAACTATATATTCTACTAGTAGATAATAATAAATAGAGGTTAACTTTTATAGTAGACTACGGCAAGTATAAAATTAACTTCTATTTTTAAGGTATACTAACTATAAGCAAGTTTATCTAACGCAATATAGAGATATAGGAGCTAGAGCGGCTTTTTATTAGTAATATAACTATAACTAGTTAATAGAAGGTTATTATTCTCTACAGCCTTAGCGGTATAGGCAAAACGCAACTAGCAGTTAAGTTTGCGCGGAAATACTATTACGCTTTTAGCAGTATTTTCTAGCTAAATAGGGAGTTAGAGGCTAGCTTAAAACAGTTATTTGCGAGTATAATATAGAGACTGCCGCAGGACAAGCTAATAGCAGATAGTATAGAGATGCTAAAGCGCTCTATAATTAATATTAATATAGCGGTGTATAAGTATCTCCGGTGGCTGTCTCTCGCAATAAATTAGTATTAGCTGCTAATATTTAATAATATTAACCGCAACTACTATAATAAAGATAACGTACAGGCGTATAATATAAAAATATACTTCCCTAGTATAGACTATAGGTTAATTCTTATTACTAGTTAGCTAGTAAGTTTCTAGAGGCTTAGAATAGGGCTTAAAGTAGGAATAGTTAAGATAGAGCAGGCAAAAGCTATTCTAAAAAGTAATACCGGAAGGGTAGTTAAGGGTAAGGTTAACAATTTCCCGCCTATTATTAAAGAATAGCAGGACTGATTTTTACTTAATAGATATAGATATAGTTTTTAAATAACTTAGTAGGCTTCCTCTAGCGCTAACCTAAGCTAGCTTATATATACAGGAGATAAATATATCCGCTTTAACCTATACTAAGTATTATAATAAGACCTAGAAGGGCTTAATATAGAAATAGGGAAGATTTCTACTAGAAGAGTATAGTAACCGCAATATGTTAATAACTTAGACTATATCCTATAAATAGGTTAAAAAGCAAAGTAAGTAAGCAGCGTAGCTGCTTAAACTATAGGGGTACCTAGACTATAGCAAGCTCTAGTATAAGCTGGTTGCAGCTGCAATAAAACTGCCTAAAGGAATAAATACTCCTGTATAGCTACTAAGTATTGCGGAAGATAAGCTGGAGTACGCTAATATAGTTAGCCTTCTATTGCGCTACTTACTTATAGATAGCAGAGAAGATAGTAACACTTATTTAATGCACTCGGTACTGCATTAATAGTGTGGGCGGCTAGCAGAAGGCAAGGAGCAGCAACACGCCCTTGGCCGGATAGCGGTAGAAATAGTGGCGTTGAATATACTATCTAAAGGCGAGCAGGATTTCTAGAGAAAGCGGAAGCAACTACTACGGCATGCTATAGGCATTAGTAGGTGGCTAATAAAGACAAACTTTGCCGAAGAAGAAGAGATAGGCGTAGGCATAATACAAGAGCCAATATATTACAGTCTAGGCTATCTTCTTGCAGAAGAAGACCGACAAAAAGCAGAGAAGATGTACTTGCGAGCGCTGCAAGGCTTTAAGAAGGCAT